TAAAAAAATTATGAAAATATTTTTGAGCATTTTTTATATTTGGAAATAAATAAACAAAATCAGAAATGAAAACAAAAATGCAAAAATATAAAAATACAAGAAATTGGGCCAGGGGGTGCAAAAAGGAAAAGAGAGGGTGTCAAAAGTAGTCAGGCCAAGCCCAGCCCAAAACTTCATCTTCAACCTCCAGCATTTGAAAAAACGCGCGCGTCCCTGTACAAACTACCAGATCCTGTATACGTGATCTATTGCAAAAACACACAACATCAAACTTGTAGAGAATTTCAAGACGATTCCAACCATATAAACAACTTGTCCTAACTCTCAAAGACCAGAGAGAATTTCTCTGGCCCTAAAATCTGACCTAGTTTTTTCAGCATGTTCATGGATGAAATTCTCCTAGCACACTTAATATAAATGAAAACTCAGCATATGTACAGCATCATGGCAATGAACACTACATTTTTTATTCACAAACCAAAGGCTAAATGTTCCTAAATAGAGAGATAGAAAGTGGAGAAAAACCTGTTTCAGTTGGATTCGTGTAGGGCAATGTAGTGCTTTTCAACAAGGCTTGAGATGTCTAGTAGCTTGCTTGAACTTCACTTGACCTTCTCCAATAGCTAGCTTGCCTTGAATGTCCTTGAATCAGCCTATAGAACTCAACCTGCACAAGCTCAAAATGAAAATGGTGAACACTGTAAATGGAGTTACAGTTGGTGTTTGAGGTTTGGGATAGCTTGGGTGAGTTGAATGGAAGGTGTTTGAAGCAACTTGGGGCAAACCGCACGAGCCAAATGAGCTATAGAACTCAAGTTGCAGAACCTGCCATGTTTTGCCAAAGGAATGCGATATCTGGCTATGGGGTGTTTAGAGGCTCAAGCAATCGTGTTTCTAGCTCAAAGGGATGTGAGAAAGATGTTCAAACTATTTGTTTAAGTTAACATTGGCTGGTTTTCAAGTTCTCTAGCTTTGGACAAGTTTCTTGTTTTTGAAGTAATAAAGTGGAAGTTGTTGTTACAGGCCTGTATAGGCTATCAAATATGCTTGCATACTTTGCTCTTGGCCCCTCTGATTTGTGGATTTGTTTTGCTGCAAGAGATCTTGGACCAATGCTCAAGGATTGTTGGTTTGACATAAAGCATACTTAAGCAAAAATGGAAATTTTCCTTTTTCTACTTAAGGCTTAATCTTGTGTATAATGTCCAAATGACCAAAACAAAAGCTTAGACTGATGGATTGGCATTAAATTATGGAGTGTGAAGTGGTTTAGAGGCCTGCAAGCTAGTGTAAGGCATGCTGATTTGAAAATGCAACTTGTATGAACATGAATATGCCATGGGTGAAAAGTGAATTTTTGCCAACTTCAAGTCTTCGATTCTCTCTAACCACAAATGTGTTTGAGGAGTTCTTGGACAATTTGGAAAGCTTGAAATATGCCCTATAATCCATATTTGAAATGAAACTTGAGATTCCAAGTGGAACTATGTGAAAAATGTCCAAGAAGATAGGTCAAAATCCTGCCTAAACTAGGGCAAAATTTCACTAAGTTAAAAGTTTTAGGGACCCTTGTTCCAAAAATCATATCTTGAGATCCAAGCTTCTTTTGAGAAAACTTTGTGAATAAAAGTTGTAGACTTTGTGGAGGACTACAACTTTCATGTTGGAGGTTTTGTTTGAATCCATTTGCATCATGGTGAAAATGTGGGGCAAAGTTAGGAAAAATTAAGAAAATTTCATAACTTAGAAAAATTCTAAGTTATGAAAATTTTCAATTTCAAACCCTAATTTGCAATTTTGGGTTTCTTGATGAACAAGTTTCATAATTTGACACATATTGATGAAAAATGACCCTTGGCACTTGATTTTGACCAAAAAGTCAAAGTTTGACTTTTCAGTGTACAGTCAAATTTTGATCAATTGACTGAAAAATTCATCTGTTAATCCAATGCAATTGAGGTCTTTTAAACTTGTTGAATAGGTCAAGATGATGCCATTGAGTCCTTGAGTCCATGGTTGAACCTAATTTGCCATTGGCTAGGTCAAAAAGTCAGAAATTGCCTTTGTACAGTCAAAACCCTAAAAATGACCATTTTGCCCTTTTGGTGATCTGATCAAATTTCTTGTGGAGTTGTGGTCCAAACTTGATCCAATGGTTCATATGAGTTCATAATGTTGATATGGGTCAAAATTCATGAGGTTTGACTGTAAATTGGCCACAGTTGAATTTTTCCCCAATACAGTTGATTTCTAGGTCAACTGTCCAATTGACTGGGCAAAGATTTGATTCAAGGCTTGAAATTTGGTATGGACAAACTTATGAGTCCAATATGAAGTATGAAAGTCAATTTGAGCATTGAAGGTCCAAAAATTCTTGTGCAAACTCAAACCCTAGTTTAGGTCATCAATGCAAGGAGATGTCTTGAGCAGAGCAAACCCTAGCTTGATCTTGAGTTCCAAAGCCTTGTGATGAGAAATGTTGATAAAATGTGATGGCAAATTTTTGGGTACAACACAAGTCACTTGATCATAGTATGGCATTTTCGGACAACATTGCGTTAATACCGAAAAGTGCACCAAAGTTGTTACATAAATGAGCAAAGTGAAATCCGGCATAAGAATGAGTTGTGCATGGTCAAGTAGAGAAACGTGAATCATGTTTAGGTTCTAACGACCATACTCCGGACAACCATGCCATATTCAAGCAATTGCATTAAAAAAACGGTAAAAAATCATATGTACAAGTTGACGGTATTAACAAAATACGGTGTTTACATAAAGCGGAAATGTAGACATTTAATATAAAAACTAAAGAGTTAGACTATTTTCTACAAGTTAGTATATTTACGCACTAAAGGGAATGGCGTCATGGACCAAAGTTAGTGCAAAACGGTATTTTCAAAAAAACGCATAATACGTGCATAAATCAAAAAGTGCTTCCAAAACAAGTGGTAACCTCTTGAAAACCATCCGGAATGATTCATAAAAATTATGTGCAGCTATACATGTGCCAAAAGTTACAAAAATGTGTTCGATTCGGTCAAATTTCACCTGAAAACTCAATTTTCGCAGCTTCGGGTGGCTCAAGAGACATGGTCTTTGTTATAGAAAGTCGGAAAAACTCAAAGCGATTCACAAGTTATGGCAAAAATCGGTTTATGTCACAAAATGTCATATTTTCCAAATGTTGAGATGTTTTCCATTAAACTCGATCAAACTTGTTTCAATTGAGTTTTACAATGGTATTAGAATTTATTGGAACTCATCTCAACACTTAGTAATGACAATCAACAAATAACCACAAATATTTGGCAAAAAAGTGAGTTTTATGTCCAAAGTGAGAAAACATTGGTAATTTGAAAATGCTACGTACATGATACATCATAATACAAGGAAGCCTTATGAGATTAGCAACCAAAAAACACAGCAACAAAGGCCAATTACTTTGACATCAAGACCTTGAACAAAACTCACAATATAAAGTTCCAAATTCATGAGTTACTTATCCAATACCTAGCTTCTTTAGCATTCGACTGTCAAAACTTAAACGATGTCATGAATTAGTACCTAAAACTAACCGAAGTGTTAGTATGCTCAAATTCCTTTAAAGGTGAGAACCTCAAGTTCCAATATCAAGCATTCATACATTTCAATGATGTGCAAATTGGCAATTGAAATAAGCAAGAAACATAAAAATGCTATTCGGGACACATTACAATCGTTTTGAAAACGTGCAACAATTGATTCAAAATGCAAAGTTATTTGTATTGGATACAAAAGATACGGCACCGAGCACAAGTAATCAATCAATGAGAAGAGGATCAAGTTTTATTGACAAAATGAGTATTCCGCGTAGCCACGCTATACTTACGTAAGTATGCCTAAAAATAAGTTAAAACACAACCAAATATATCAGTATTAACAAGAGGAAAAATTATGTACAAAGAAATACTATTCATAAATCAAAATTCTATGTACATATAATTCAAGATTCCAGACAACATTGTTACCATTTTGTAAGATCCAAAATATCTTGAAAAAGTGCAACGGAAAATATCTCGGTATCTTTTAAAAACAACAAAACAATGTGGTAACTCTAATCCGGAATTAAATTACATGCCAAGGCGTAATCACAAATTATGGACAGACCTATATACATGCTAGCATTCACCACAAATCATAATTTGGAAATCCACATTTAACGTCTAGTCTTGAATTCTAGCATGCAAGTACTTACCCATAACTTGCAAGCAAAGCGGAATTACGTAAATGAAAAAGACAACAAAACAATGAGAGAAATACATGATCTTGAAGCATTACAACACATGTACAAATTGGAAAACTATTTCCACTGCAAGCTTATGTCAAAACAGAGGAAAATTGGAGTTATACCATAATTTATAGAAAGTAAAAACTTATGCATCAAGATACATTCTAATGCTTCAATTTCCACCAAAAAACAACAAATAATGAAATTAAAGAATGCTAGTTAGTATCAAAGTATTAAAGAGATTAGTAGTATTGATTTCAATTCATGAGGTTATGATTTCAATTTGGATTTAAGCATAATCTCATAACCTCATGAATAACTAACCAACGCCTTGTTTCTTATCATTTTGATATCAAAATTGATAACAAAATCAAGAATTAGTACCTAAAACCAAGCTAAGTGTTAGTATGCACTAAATTCCTAAATCAATTGTAGAATTAACCTAAGCTAACACAAATCTGAAAATTATACCTAATTATATTCCATTCTAAAAATCTGAAAATTCAAGAGGCAAAACAAACTCTCTAATTCAATTCTTGAATTCTTAACTATTGCAAAAATCTGAAAATTCAACCTATATCCTAGTTGCAACGACAACTCCAAATTCAAGATTCAACAGAAAATTAAAGGAGATTATAACAATACCTCTTGAAGATGCTTGAAGTATATGAAGAGGAATAGTTGAGGTTGACCGGAACTGAGTGTACTGGCCGGGAGGAAGCAGGACGTGATGAAGGGAGGCTACAGACGCAAGGAAGTTGCAGACGGAGGGAGCTGTAGACGGAGAGATTGCAGAACAAATATGTGCGGAGTTGATTGCAGACGGAGGGATTTGTGGAGTTCATTGCAGGCGGAGAGATGTGCGGAGTTGAGAGATTGCAGAACAGTTAAGCGATGGTGGAAAAACGGAATTCCGTCAGAGAGGGAGCAGGGCGGCCGGAGTTGGTTGAGAAGAGAAGTCCCGCGAGGGAGGAGAGCCTTTCCGGAGGGAGCCTCCTTCTATTGTTATACCTTTTTTATGAGAAAAAAAGAGAGAAAGTGAAAGAGAGGGAAAGTCCAATTTTTGGAAAAAATGAGAGAGAACTTAGTTTTGGTAGTAAAATTTAATATATAGTAAATGTAAAAATCCCATGTTTTCAGCTTATTCACCGCTTAAGTGAAAATTACACCGTGATCCGTAAAACTTCCCGAACGCGGACCTCCTGTCAAAATATGCGCCTATGAGTTATGGAAACAACCCAAAAATAACAGACGTTTTCTGAAAAAAATCGAGTGAGTTTGATACGTTTAAGCGGTCAGACGTCACTGTCAAAAATTAATTACGTCAAAATATCAGCTTATTTGACCTCTGTTACTCAGAAACGTCACAAAGTCGTGTCCCAGATTTCAGAACCTCGATTCGAATTTTCTAGGAAAAATATGCGTCTCTGAGTTCTCGACGTCGTGTCAAGAAATGAGAGCCGTCTGATAAACGGTTGATTTTTTATGAATTTTACAGTACAATGCTGTTAAGTCTATTTTGCTGGTACGAACAACTCCATTTTGCGAAATAAACCAACAACGAAGGTCTTCGAGCTACCTTCCGACTTGGCAACATGAAACAGAATTGAAAGAGACCAAATTAGCAAGCCACACTTCAAGAACGGGCTCTATTTGGTAAAAATTGACCGAGTTATGAATTTTTGAATATTGGAAACCGAACAGAAAAATACCAAATAATTCCTCAGTAATTCAAAACTTACGCAACCTTCCTCGAATAGTCAGCTCTCGCCCCTGGACGTCCATCAAGAGGATATCAAGATGGAATTTCGGGCACTGAAACCACGCTCATGCAGTACTTGAACCAGGAGATATGAGTTTTTAATGCGCATAAAATGATAAAAACATCGTTCAGCCAACTGTTTATCAGTATTTTCCACTGTTCAACTATGTTTGACTTGCGAATTCGGGGACCTTCCTTCGAGAATTGGCTTTAATCCTGAACACGGAAATTAGAGAGGATATCGAGTCGGTTTTAACAATGGAAAAAACACCTTGAGATGGTATACAAGATCAGATTTAGAAACTTTTGAATGCCTGAAACACTGTTGATCGCTAACTTGAAAACTCTGTAATAAAATTATTTGACCGCCTTCTGCACCTAATTGGCTCCCGGCCCGAATATGAAAAGTGAAGATAATATCAACACGAACTTGGTGATCAAATTTCAGCCTAAAACAGTACTCTGGCTCACAGTTAGAAAATTATAAAATTGACACACCGAAATAGATTTTTTACCCGAACTATTCCGAATCAGATCAAACCCTTTAGTTCCCTTATATTTCCCAAGACATGAGAAAATACACGGGAATAGAACATGGTGATAACCCGTTCCCCAGCTGATTGAATGGCCTACACAAAGCCTATTGACGTTTCTGATAAATAGTCGATGCTTTACTGACATACCTTGATCCTATAGCAACATACCTAATGTATACATGCGTATGCAGATGAAATGTAAGCAAAATAAAAATTCTGAAACCAATAGTGCAACAGGATCATTGTAAATTATTCAAGCTTACCTTGGGAGTGAATGGAATTGATTAGAATCACAAGCTTGTGGTGAAAGGTAGTGTAATAAGGGTTTGAGAATTTTAGGGTTCTTTAAAATATTTGGAAATTTTTGACAATTTTGTGGTGCAAGGATTTCGTGTCTTGTTCTTGTCTTGAGGTTTGAATATATAGATAATTTTTAGGGTAAAAACAAATGGGCTTGGACCCTTGTGCAATAAGATATGATTTTTATCTTATTTATTTTGTATTATTAACGAATTAAATAAAAAATAATTAAAATAATTAAAATAAAAAGGCCAAAGGGTGTATGAATGAATTCTGAGGTGAATGAAAAGCATAACACACGTTTGGACCTCAAAACCATGGCCCAATAGTCCAAAATATCAAGCTTGCTCAATTTGAACTTCATGCATTTGCTCAAAATTTCCCAACTTGCAATGGTCATAACTCACTCAATTTTTATCTTTTGAGGGTGATCTTAGAATTTTTAGAAATATCAAGATGTCCTATACAACCTCTATGTTGATCATTTTTGCTTTTAAAGAATTTATCTTGATGTAAGTTGCCTTGACGAAAAATATCTTTTTCTTGACTTTTGAAATGACCTGTAATGTATTGGCTTATATCTCTCAAATGATGCATTTTTTGGACTTGGGCATAGAGGTACATATTTGTAGGGAATTGAATTTCCTTCAAAATGAGATTTTGTTGGGGAAAATATAATGAAGCATGTGAAAGTTATGCTTGGTCAAAGTTCAGTTGACTTCTCCTAAGGAAACCCTAATTTGGCAACTTTTGATTTTTGATGGTTTGAGGGCTTTTCTTAAGGAATCATGATCAACCATTGATAAAATAATGAATATCACTTTAAAATGTTGGTGTTGACCATAATCTTGAAGTTTGACTATATGTTGACCACAATTGACTTTTTACCCAATGGAGTTGATTTTCCATCATTTGAGTAATTGACTGAGAACACTTGTGATGCAAGGCATGAAACTTGACATGAGCATTCTTGAACACATATGAGGAACCAAGAAAACCACTTGATACCTTAAGAACAAAATCTTCCTTGTGAAACATAAAACCCTAGTTGTGGACCCATGTCTTATGAGGAGAATTTGTCAGATCAATTCTTGAGCCAACTTGAGCAAATGAGGACCTCATGAGATTATCTTAAAGGAAAATAGGAGGGAAAATTTTAGGATACAGTAGCTGCCCTTGTTCAATTTTCTTAAACTTGAAGAGTTGGATTAGCACGTCCGCCATTCGTGACTTAAAGGTAGAAGATGATTGAACACTTAAGTGCCCAAAAAATTGCACTCGCATGTGCATAAGGTAACACTGTTAGTTGATTATACTGGGAATTAGGGGTGGAAAACGGGCATGCTCGGCCCGTTTAGGCCCGCCCTGCAAAAAAGTGAGTGAGGGGCAGGGAAAGCCCGCGAGCAATGCACCTTTTAGGCCTAAAAATGCAAAATTTTATGCAAATAATCATGCCCGCAAAAGCCCGCGAAGAAAACGGGACAGGGCAGTCACATTACAGGGTGAGGGCCTAAATTACTGGCCCTCCCCACACTCAAGTGCGGGTAAAAAGGGCATGCCCAACGTGCCGAGCCCGTTTTTCCACCCCTACTGGGAATGGGCTTAAAGATTCCATTTGGAGAGGTGATGGATAATCGTCATAGATGGGATTACAGATGCCATCCAGATAATTGTTGATAGTAATATCAGAATAAGTCTACGCCTGACTTTGTCTAAAAGAAGCATCAGAAAGAAATCTACGCTTGATTTCATTTGAACCAAAAGATGTCTATGCTCAACTTCAACTAGAAGAGGTGCCGGAAATAGTCTAAGCCTGACTTTTTTCCAAAAATATTATCAGAAGGAAATCTACGCTTGATTTTATCTGAACTAGAAGATGTCTATGCCCGAATTCAACTAGAAGAGGTACCGGAAAGAGTCTACGCCTGACTCTTTCCAAAAAGAGTATCAGAAATAAATCTACGTATGATTTCATCTGAACTAGAAGATGTCTACGCCTGACTTCAATTAGAAGAGATACCAGAAAGAGTCTACGCCCGAATTTTTCCAAAAAGAGTATCAGAAGGACATTTATGCCTTATTTCATCTGAATCATGCACTAGAAGATGTCTACACCCGACTTCAACTATAAGAGATATTGGAAGGAGTCTACACATGACTTTTCTAAAAAGAGTATCAGAAGGAGATCTATGCTTAACTTCATCTGAATGATGCACTAGAAGATGTCTACGCCTTACTTTATCTAGAAGAGATATCTTTTAGAATGTCCTTCTGAGGAAAATGTTTAAGTAGCTACCGGTCAGATTTAATCTCTGAGGGAAATACTTTTCTGTTTGCAAACTTAACCTGAAAAGACAAAGTTAGTTTTATGCAACATTATGATGTATGTAATGCATTACGTGATGATGCTCTCGAAATAAGTGTGAGTGTGCTAATGTGTTTCGTATGCATATGCTATGATAAATGACGTATGAATATGAGATGTTGTTGAAGTGTATCGGTAGATTTGTATAACATTCTTGATTGGGAAATAAATCCCGGACTACTGCTGGGGATGAAAATATGGGTGATCCTCAATCTTGTCATGGCATGCCTTTGCTAGGGATTCCGGCTTGCTGTTGGAGGAAACTCCACTGGGGAATTAGATTTTTGCCTGGGAGAAGAATTCAAGAACATTGATCGTTCATCGCTATACTGGGGAGTTTAATTCTTATATACCCTGACTGGGGATAAAAGAGATGGATAATCTTCTGAGGTGCTATTTGATCGAGTTTCCGATATGGATGCCGACTCGTCTGGGGAGGATAAGATTAACTGATATCTGGTCCAATTTTAGGTATTGTAGTGACTCTCTAGAGATACTAGTTTGGACTACCCTTTGCTGGTGAGAGGAGTTTTGTCGGTGATTTACAATAGTCAGAAGGATAGACTCAAGCTGGGGAGACTGAATTCTGCTGGGGAAATAAACCCTGTTGGGGAAATAAACCCTGTTGGGGAAATAAATCCTATTGGGGAAATAAACCCTATTGGAGAAACACTCTGTTGAGGAAATAAACCTTGCTGGAGAAATATGTTCTGCTGGGGACATGAGCCCTGATAGAGAAGAGAAATCTGCAGGGGATTGAATCCGGCTGGAGAAATAATCTCAGCTAGGGAAGAGAATTCCTGTGAACTGTGCTGCCATCATAATCTACTAAAGATTAGAATCTCGTAGGTTGGCGACATTTTCGGGGAAAAGATTATACTTCTTTGTCCGCTAGGGGAATCTACTGGTGAGTATGATTAGGATATTTCAAACTTGCGGGGAATATGTCAAGTTCATGAAGATGAGCTGATTCTGCGAGGAATAATCTTATGGAAACTGTTATGTAGGGAAACTTTACTGGAGATTACTCCGTGGGGATTTATGGACGGCTTGAACATTATCCCACCTCCTACAGTCTT